TTGCCGAAGTTATGTTGAAGTTGTTGTCAAAGTAGTTGGTGTAATAGTTGGTAAAAACGAAATGCAAAAACATTCAAACAAAAGTTTGATACTCTGCTATCAAATATGTACTTCAAGTTTTTTCAAATCTGACGTTTTCTGAATAATTAACGCTTTATCAGTATTACTTGAAGAGGTGGCCTGGTAAAAAGGGTGGCCTGGTACCCATCTGTTGTAAGAACTGGTAAGTCATTAATAATTAAACAATCTATGGATTCACATGTTGTCACTAGACCTAATCTTGCAGAATATAAAATAAGATACTTAAAGAATTCCAAAAAGAATTTTTTTGTACATTGTAATAATTTGCAGATGACACCAAATTCTTACAATGGTTTAACCATCATTTTTTACATATATAATGTTTTCAGTTATAGGCTTTCTTTATTTTCAAAAAAATAGTCTTATATGATATAAGATTTCAAACAGACATTTGGAGGAATCAAAAATAAAAAAAAAATTGAACATTTGAATCTTGTTGTTCTTGTAAAATAATTTGTAACAACTATTGTATTGCGTTGTTTATGCTCTGTGTATATGTTGTTTGTGCTCTGTGTATATTATTGTATATTAAAGCTATTGTTCTTTTTTTATTTTATTTTATCGGATCACATGATCGGATCATATGACTTTAAGTTTAGTCGTTTTATAACAGAAATTAATAGTTACTACAAAATTTTTTTTAGGTGAAAATATTTGTTTACAATTTTTTTTATTCAATTTTTTACAGTCTATAGTAACATAGTGGTTGTTCCTTGCACATTTTTATGCGCTTTTTTTCTTGAATGTCGACAGATTTTAAGGCTAACAAGACGAATTTCAAGACGTTAATCGCAACAACCTTAACTTTAGAATTTTTGCATTACTTAGGGCGGAATTATAGAGTAATAATCTATTAATTAGTCATATTTTCTTTTCATTTAAAAATTGACGTAATTATAATTATTTTAAAAGAAAACTTTTTCTCAATGAAAAGTTTTCTCTAGATGACAAGCAGAGGGGTAGTTAATTTACGCTACTCTTAGAAACACATTCCTTATTTTTAGAGTCGGCAGACTAAAGCATATAAGTTTTCATTTTGAACTAAGTGATTAAAAATTTACCGTCGATCCTTAATAATAAATGTTTGAAAATTTATTTTCAATATCATTTTTTTCCTTTATTACTTAGACAACCGAAGTTTTTAAGCTTGTTCATTTATTTTTTTCGTTTTACAACAAAAAGGTTTCATTCATTCATTAAATGACTTTTTCATCGGATAATTGGCTTTTCTTTCGTTATTCAGTCACTACAGAATAAATTAGGTTTTTTTTGTATAAATATTTTGATAATTCATTTTATTGTTATTATTATTCATTTAATACATGTCTTCAAGATTGTACTCGTTAAACCCCTAGAAAATATAATAAGAGAGACATTTAAAAAATTAATTTATAAAAATTACAATTCTAGTTTTCATTTTATTTTGTGAAGAAACTGAAGAAATTTTGTGAAGAAACTGAAGAAATTTGTCTTCTGCGATTTTGTGAAACTAAAAAATTTGTCTTCTGCGAATTTGTGAAGAAACTAAGAAATTTGTCTTCTGCGAATTTGTGAAGAAACTAAGAAATTTGTCTTCTGCGATTCTGTGAAGAAACTGAAGAAACTTGTCTTCTGCGATTTTGTGAATAAACTAAGAAATTTGTCTTCTGCGAATGATTTTGTGAATAAACAACGAGTTTGTTTGACTCGTCTTGTAAAGTTCAATTTTGTAAATGATTATTACAAAATCAATGATATTAAAGATCTTTCAATGACAAAATTAATTTTTTTTTATTGCAAATGTTGTTTCTAAACGACGGGGTTGAATATTTGAAATAACTGAAGTGCTAATTATGCAAGGTTGTTTTTTTTTTTTTTTTAATTTAAAGAAAAATCTCCTGGGAATAACATAACAGATAAACTGTCGATCAAAACTATAGTGCAAGAATTTGCTTTTTAAAACCAGTTTGATTTTGACTGGAAATAAAAAAAATTGCTTTGTGTTTTAGGAATCTTTTGTTTCAATGATGAATTATTGAGTCAGAAAACTGTGAAATATTTAAATCTGTAACCAAAAACTTTATGAGTGTGAACTATTATTTTCGTGTATTTTTACAACTGCATAATATTTGCAATTTTTAACAAAGTAAAGCAATTCTACTATAAACTATCTATCCATCAAAATTCTATTCAAAGACATTTTCAACAAAACACAGAGTATCAAAATATTTTTAAGATAAAAACAAAAATTTATTAGTACTAAAAACAAAAATAAAGAATAATATTATTTTTATTGTAAAAATCGAATCACAAATAATGAAAAAAAAAGTTCTCCAAATTTATTGTCATCCAGTTTAAAATCAATACTTGAAATAAAACTTATATTTTATGAAAACATCTATTTTTATCTTCTGCAACTGAGAAACACCTACTTTCAATTACTTTCTGATATTTTTTAAAACAATTACGTCATTAGTTTTGAATGCGATATAAAATGCACATTTTGCTGTTCAAGAACGTGATTGTGATTTAAAATTTCTTTTTTTAAAGCTTGATTCAGTTTTATAATGTAGGCTGTATAAATTTTTACTAAACCATAATTTTTCTCGAAATTTCTGTTTGAAAAATTGATCTGGTTAAATTTTTCTGGAAAGATTAAACTCTTGCTCTATTTTTGGATAATAGGAATTAACTGAGATAACTGTAACTAAGTTTTCTAATCTATTTTTCTCAATGCGACTTGTTAACTCACATAGTTTCTTGACAACAACAACAACAAAAACAACAGCAACAACAACAAAAAGGTTACGCGTGACTAATTGCGTCATATTGAAATTAAAATTGCTGCCTTAAATCTTAAAAATTGTGGCTGCCTTAAATCTTAAAAAATGTGGCTTTTCCTATGCTAAGCCAACAATATATTTAGATATAAAAACATCGTATAGAAAAATATAGCATAAAAAATTCAAATTAAAAAAAAATCAATTTAATGTATATAAAATTTTTTTAAAACAACTTTTATTCAGTTCTAATAATATAATATGACAATAGAACCAATAACACCCAAAAATAAACACCAAAGTTTAAGCGTTTAAGCAGAAGTGAATTATTAACTTAAGAAATTAACACACTTTGAGTTAAATGTTTGAAATTTTTTTAGAGATTTAAAGTTTTAACTTATACCTCTTAAATTATGAACATAAAAATTGACTATTATGAGAAGTGTTAAGCCCCAAACAAGCAGCATGAAAGGTAATTAGGATTTATATGAAACAACTGACCACTGGCAAAAATGTCACGGAATATTAAATTGAATCCAAATAAAAACTCTTGCAATATTGTCACATTATCAAATTGGAAAAGTAAAAACCTCTTGCAATCAAACATACTAAATATTTGGTATCTGATTTGGTACTTCTCAAATGCGACAACGGTAAAAAAGTATTTGTAACAGTCGAAGATCATTTCGTATGAAAGTTATCTAAGAAAACAGTAGTAATAATAACTAGTAATACTCGCAATTGCGGGAAAAATTACCCGACGTTTTAATTTAGTTAAATTACATTTTAAATATTTTCTTTTTAGAATGTAGTCACAACATAGATACTACATAGCCTTCAACATAAATACTATATAAACCGCACGTAGTCTGATAAATTGATACTATATAGCTCGCAGGCTACTACTATATATAATATATATTATACAGGATTTATCTTTGAAATTTTTTTTTTTGCATTTTTGCTTTCTTATTGCATCTTAATGAGCATTTAGGTCACTAAAGACCGTTAGGTTTTCTTTAACACCTTAAATTCACAAAAAAAAAAAAAAAAAAAGTCATAAATTTACATTTTTCCATTGTTATACTTTCTTTTATATCTATTATGAAATTACAGCCTGATGATGTTGTACCCATTGTATGTTAAGAACAAGTTTATGATGTAGTACCCATTGTATGTTAAAAATAAGAGTCAATTTATTTAAACTTGAACTTTTAATTTTCATAATTTTAATATTGGACGCTAACAATTAGACGCAAAATAAAAATATCAATAATATTAAATAAGTAACATAGTAAACAGTTAGAGCAAAAGATAATTAAATAGATACATAATAAAATAAACAGTTAAAACAAGCAAGTTACAAGAATAAGACAAGAAATTGCAAGAACGAGCAGTAATCAATTACATATATATTAAAATAAACAGTTAGAACATTCAGGTTAGAACAAGCGGCAATCAAGAAGCAAAAACAAATTATTAGCAAACACTTTTGTTCTTTTGTCTCACTAAAAAACGTCGCGTCAATTTATTAGTCGAGTCTGAAAAGTAAGTCTATAAAAATATATAAATATATTATTCATATGTTGTTTTTACTTGATTTCAAAAATTGATTTCTTAAATTTAAAGTTTAATCTAAATTATGTTCGGGCTATATTTTTTAATTTTTTATATAATTTCTTGATAGATAAAAATTCAGATTTCAATTTTTATTTTTAAAACTCTGTTAAAGTTCATTATTTTGGTACCTTAGTTAACCTAATCAGAAGCGTAACTGGGTTTTTCACGCTTTGGTAATTTATATTTGGTGCCCCAGACAAATTGAAAAATTTCATCTTCACAACCTTATCAATTGTTAAAAAAATAATATATTAATTTTATGACAATAAAATTCTGTTGTTGACAGTTATAAATACCTAATCTGTCGTTGAAAGTCATAAATACCTAATCTGTCGTTGACAATCATAAAACACGAATATTAAAAATGAAAAAACTGGAACACTAATTTCATATTTATTATTTAATAAATCATTTTAAAAATAAAAATTTTATCAGAGATTTAGCGGCGCTTTTAGCGACTGCTCCATGGCCAAACCATTATTACGTCACTGACATTTAGCATTTAGTACATGCATGAATGTTTTAAAGAATAAGTCTTACCATCAAAATCAACTTCATTAATAATCCTGCAAATCTCTTTTTCAGTAGGATTCAATCCAAGCGAGCGTAAAACTGTGACGAGCTCAGAAGATGTTATAAAGCCATTGTTATCTTTGTCAAACGCTGTAAAAGCATCTCTAAATTCTAAATAAATAAATTTCTTTAAAAGTACTTTTGTAAGAGTAAGATGAAAAAAGTTAATATTTAAGTGAACAATAAATTCTGTAGGTCTCCCCTTCCATTGAAAGGTTAAAAAACTTTTTCTTACATAAGATTAAAACAAAATTGCAAACCTTTAATCTGTTCTTCCGAAAGTTTATCCTAGTAAGACGAATAAATAAATAAAGTTTATTACACACTCCTTTTTTTCTTCTATTTTTTAAGGCTTGGTCTTACCATGATTAACACTTCGGTTCTTTTTTTGATACTTCGGTTCTTCTTTTGAAAATTCTCTTGAGATGTTTCCTCTTTCGATTATTTCAGCGTTTTTAAAAAGCTTTTTTTATAAACAAAAAATAATTAAAACTTATTTACGAAGAAATACGTTATAAATGATTAATGTAAAAGGAAAAACTATATAATAATCAAATTAAAGTCGCCTTGCGCACACACACACATATAAAAAGATTTTCCATCCATCCCACGAATCTTTTTCATCTCATGAAGCTAATTAAATCATTCCGTATTAGATTTCCATTAGGTTTCTCATTAATAGTTTATTTAAAAATGTTGTGCGTTCATTATAAGACAATCTCGGAATCCTTTAAATTATTAAACTGCAAAAGAAATTAAGAACAAACATAAATCTTAACTGATCAACAAGGTACCTAAACATTCTTATTATATTAATAAAATCGTTATCTTTCATCTTTGATTTGAAATCTTTCATCTTTGATTTGCAAAATATGCGCTTCGTTTATAAATAGCTTTGCTAAAAAATTCGGAGAAGTTTTAAATCACGATTAAATACAACGAAAGTTTTTCAATGAAAAATAATAATGCAAAAGTACGAAACATGTTATCGGCATAAATGTATATTTCGGAAATTTTTTTATCTTTATAAAA